CTCAGACATTTCAGATATTTCAGATGAGAACAGATAATAACCAACCAGTTTGATTAATTTGTCTTCATTTTAGAGTAAGCAGTTGTTTTTTTTTTTGTTTTTTTTTTTTCTGCTTCTGCAGCAGCTGATGCTTTTTACTCATTAAATGTGGTGTCAGATATCTTGAAGAATTAAATAATGATGAAAATCCTGGTAGGGTTTTGAACCCCAAAAAAAATTAAAAAAAAAAAAAAAAAAAAAAAAAAAAAAAAGTCACAGTGCAATGTTTTGGAAGCTGTGGGAGTTAGAGGCTCAGATGGGAAAGGTTCTAGCCAGAAGGTGCCAACAGAACCAAATGCTTGCTGTTATTGCGGTGTTGAGTCTAGTAGTTATCCAGTGGTTTTCCAAGCTGTTCTCTGAAATATTCATTGCATTTCCTTGGTTAATAAAGTTGATTAAATAGTCCTGTGCTTTTAAAAGTTCTGAACCTATATCCAGTTCATTTTATGAACTTTTAATGTAAAGTTTGCAATTGAATTGTGAGGTTCGCAGATTAACAGAAAAGTGAGTAGGAGCCTTGCCATCACCTGAGATTTGGCCAGCTGTTGGTCCTAGTCAAAGGGTGCTCCTACTTCTGCTTTTCTTTCTGTTTTCACACTTTTTCATTGTAAAGGTGCTTTTTGAACAGCTTGCTGACTAGTAGAAACAGTGAGAAATGCGGATTTTGTTCAGGAACAGGGGAAACCTCTTATGCCTGGGCTGCAGAAGCTGCCCAAAGTAAACCTTATTTGAAATACAGGCCAGGAATATGCACTATATTTAAAAGTTTTACCCAAACTATTGACACAGCATGTATTCCAGGTGGGAGTACTACAGCTCTGCTATTTCTCAGCTGCTTTCTTTGTCTTTACCTCATATGCCCAATGTAGAATGGATCTAATTTCAGCAGTCTCTTTTTTTCCCAAATTTATCCCTATTAAAAAAGTGAATCTGGATTCTTGCTTTTTTGACTGTGCTCAAATTTGTTCTTGTTTCCTACAAGTAGACTGCTCTGTTAACAATATGCTGTGTTTAATCTTAAGCAAAGACTTTGAGAACTGGATCCAAAGTTCAAGAAATGTGATTCATTAGGCAGAACAATAAGAATACTGAAAAGGTCATACTGCTTGCTAGTCTTGACTGCTATCAGGTTGGTTTTCAATGGAAAAAATTGTTTGTATACTGCAGTGTAATATATTTTGAATAAGGCAGTGGAAATAACTTGTTTGGTAATCATGTAATACAATTTTTAAACTCTTCTGGCTAATTTCAAGAAGGAAAAAACAGCCGTGAACATGACGTTATTCTTAATGTTCAAAATGTTCCTATTAGTTCTTAATTAGAATCATCTTTCACTTGTTCCATCAGGTTTCATTACTTTTTAACATTTACCTCTTTTCAAGTCCCCAGTTTGAAAAGTCTCATGTCAGTATTAGTTTTTTATTGGCTCATTTACAGAACATATTTCCCAAGGAGGGGTGATTTTATCCACCTGTGGATAGGAAGTAGCAGTAAGTTCAGTAGTTACTGACTTAATATAAATTGTAGCATTACTCTGTACTTGATATTTTAAGAGGCTGCTCAGGCATCATAGACTCCTAATGCTAGTAATTATAAAAGTGTTAATTAAATAATCTTCAACTAGAAAAAGAATTCCAAACTCACTGTAGAAAGCATTTGATGGCCAAGCCTTTCCATTAATGGTAAAAGAGTTGGTGGAATATCATTTCTTTTTTGCTTTCGAGGTTGAAAGGCTCTGTCAAAAAAGAAAAAAAAACACCTTAATTGTGGAAGCTTATAGCTGCCTTTGTACTTCAATAGCTGTCAAGCTGCAGCTAGCAAGCTGCAGCAAACTGTCACTACAAGGGCACAAGCTGGCTCTGCTTCATTCTCTGATGGCTTCACCCCACAAAAGGCTCACCCTGGTGTCTTGCAGCAGAGTGTGCACTGCTGTGGTTCGTGATGAGCTGATATGCTGGCAACAGCCCAGGGAGCCTTCTGCCTGCCTTCAGCACATTAACTCCTTGTGTCTGAGTAGCTTCTCTCTTCCCTGACCTGATGAGAATAATTCATCCCTAAGCAGGGGAGAATCCATGATTATTCAGACTCCGATGTGAATCCCAAATAGACAAAAATGAATAAAGAATATGGAGCATAACTTCTTGTTTTCTTAGGAAAAATAGTAATATAGTTTCTATATATAGTAGACATGAAATCATGATATTTAAGTAGCTGTCAAAATATTCTAGATTGGAGGAATTAAAGAAGCATAAAATGCATGCTATAATAACTTCATTTAGCGTGACTGCAGTTTTGACTTACCTTCAGGTGGCAGGTCTGGAGAAGAGGGGGCTTGGGGAGATCTTCTTGCTCTCTACAGCTACCAAAAGGGAGGTTGTGATGAGATGGGAGTCAGCTGCTTCTCCTGTGTAACTAGTGGTAGGACTAAAGGAAATGGTCTCAAGTTGTGCTGGGGAGATTTGGATTGGTTGTTAGCAGTACTATTTCTCTGAAGGAGTGGTCAGATGCTGGAGCAAGGTGCCCAGTGAGGTGGTACAGTCACCAACCCCAGAGGTGTTTATATGTTGTACTGGGGGACATTATTTAGTGGGAGATATTGATGGTAGGTGAACAGTTGATCTTGGATGTCTTTTCCAGCCTTGGTGATTCTGTGGTTCTGTGATAACTATGTGATCTGTAGAGTGTTGAATGGTGAGAGCTGGTTAACCCCATTTCTGATGCTTGCATTCTTTTCTGTAGGATTGGCAGAGTGAACACAAGTCAGAGAAGCTGGCCAGCTTTGTAGTTTGTTCCATAAAATGCAGTGCAAGGAAGATAATAGCAAAATAGTGGAGTGCTGCCAGTAACATCTTGGAATAAGAGGTCGTGTTGATTAAGCTGTTTAATGTATGTCTTTTTGAAGATGATTTGCCATTTTGTCTTTTCACTCTGGTAATAGGCATACATAACCTGATGTAACTTCTGTTGGGTTTTTTTTGTTTGTTTTTTAGCTGAATGTGAATGATCCTGGAGATGGGAGCACATCCAATGCCTTTGTTAATTTTTGTTTTAAAGTTTTTGAGTCAGTAAAATCTGGGAAGGGGAAAAGAGAATACTTCATTTTAGCTTAAATGAAAATGACTACAAATACTCGTGTAGTATTCTGTTTTCACCTAAGTATTTCACAGTGCTCTTTCGTATTGTTAAATTCTACAGATTACGGTTTTCCTCTTTTTCATGTACATATATATATAGCAATGATACAAGCACATGAAATTTTCTGACAGTTTTTACTAATTATGGATCTGTGAAATCCCATGATAGCTGGTGATAAGTCATTCATGAGGTTTCTGATCAGAAATCTTGAAATTTGTGTTATGTGGTCATTAGCTGTTTTTCAACAAAAAAGAATTGTAAAAAATATTCTCTCTTTTCTGCTGGGTGGTTGCAGAATATTTCATACAAGACTTGCTGATGGCAAGAGACTCTTCTAACTAGAGTTGTACATGATTAAACTGGGGGAATATTTTTCTTATACTCTCCTCACCATGTTCCTCATAATATTTCAGATAAATAGGTTCTTATCTTTTTGGTTTTTTTTATTTTTCTAAGAAGGCTGCAGTTCATAAGAAAATACATATCCTTGAGCTATCTAGTATAGACAAAAATGTGCTATAGTCTTCAGAGTCTTTTATTTCTTTTTCATAATCTGCAAATACATCTTTTTTAGTATAGGCTGTTTCTACACGTGACAGCAGAAATCTTTTTATGGTAAATTGTGACCAGGCTGTGGGTATAGGTATGTACAGGTAAATCATAGGATGACTTACGTTGGAGGGAACCTTAAAGATCACCTACTTCCAACCACCCCTGCCTGTGGGTAGGGTTGCCACCCACTAAATCAGACTGTCCAGGGCCCCACCCAGCCTGGCTCTTTTATCATCTTCCTCTGAACCCACTGCAGCAGCTCCCCTTATTTCCTGTACTGGGGACCCCAGGCCTGCACACAGTACTCTAGACAGGACCTTGCAAGGGCAGAGCAGATTGGAACAATCAATTCCCTCTCCCCACTAACCCTAACCCTTTTGATGCAGCACAGAATACAGGTGGTCTTCCTGTCTACAAGAGCACACTGCTGGCTCATGTCCAGCTTTTTGTTCCAGAACCTCCAAGTCTTTCTCTGCAGGATTCCTCTCAATGAATTCTTCTCCAGGTCTGTATGTGTCTGGGATAGCCCTGGCCTGAGCACAACCCTTTCTCTTGGCCTTGTGAAACCTGTTAAGTTCACATGGACCTACTTTTCAAGCCTGTTCAGATCCTTCTGGAGGTTCTCTTCCTTTTGTTGTATCAACTGTACTGCTCACAGGAGCATGCTGCTGGTTCTTGGTCAACCTGTGCCATCAGAACACCCAGATTCTTCTCCACGGAGCTCCTTTCTAGCAAATCAGCCTTTAAACCTGTACTGATGCGTGCAATTATTCCTCCTCAATGTAGGACTCCATATTTGCCCTTTTTGAACCTCATAAGTCTCCATCTAACTCTCCAACCCGTCCAGGCCTTGCTGAATGACAGCACAGCTTTCTGGTGTGTCAGCCACTTCTGCCTTTGCATCATTGGCAAACTTGCTGAGGGTGCTCTCTATCCTATCATCCAGGTCATTGATGCTGTGTGTACTTCTTCACAGTGTAACTTTTATTCAGGATTTTTCAGTCTTTTAATTTCTTACCTAATAGAAAAATGTTGATAGTAGATGACTTATTAAATAAGCCTTTTCTATTTTATCATCACATGTTTAATTTACTGTTGCATTGTTATTATTTACAGTTTCTTACCTTTATTACTATAGACATCCAGGTAATGAGGTGCTGAGGAAGTTATTAATGATGGAACCCTGTAGTTTGACTTTTTACTCATCTTGGATCTGTCTTAGCAGTTCTGTTAGTTGGAAGAAACAAGATCTAGATTTGTATTTTCTGTTTAAGCAGGACAGCTGGGAAATTGTAGAAGGACTCCGGGGAGCAATGAATTGTACCCAGGAACCACAGAAACAGGAAGGCTGCTTGCTGAAAAAAAGAAAATGGCCTTTGAAGGGCTGGCACAAGGTAATAAAGGAACATCTGTATGAAAGCCTGGTGCCATGTAAATGTGACATACTGAATGTGTTGTTACTGGAGAGAGAAGAAAAAAAAAAAAAAAAAAAACAAACAAAAAAAAAAAAACAAAACTAAGGACAGGGAAAGATGTTCTCTGAATAAATGTGCGGGTGTGTTTCAGTGGTATTTTTTTGGTTTTGTTTCCTTTGGTTGTTTTTTTTTTTTTTTGGCTGTTCATGTGACTTTTCTTTTAATTCTTTTCTTTTTTGCAGAGATACTTCTTTTTGGACAGAGGGATTTTGAAGTATTCTAAATGCCAAGCTGATGTAAGTGATTTAAAATCCTTTAAAGCCAGTATAAGATAACAACAGTATTTTATTTTATCTGAAATAATAATTTCATATTGATAGTAAAGAGAAGTAGAGTTTCAGCAGCTCTTAACAGCAGAGTGAATGCAGAAGAAGGATGATCAAAGCAGGTAATGTCCATCTTGAAGAATTCTAGGGTTATTGTATTCTTTTCTATTTTCTGCAGATAGAGAGAGGGAAACTTCATGGCTGTATTGATGTTGGACTTTCTGTCATGTCTGTAAAGAAATCAACAAAATGTATAGACTTAGATACTGAAGAGCAGATATATCATCTGAAGGTAAGTCTTTTAACATTGTTCAAAATTTGCTCCCCGTACCGTAGGAGTATAACAACATGAAGTCTGTGTGGTGAAGATCATGTCTATTTTTAACAGCAGGAGATCTATTAATTTCACTTATAGCTTAACTTTTAGTCTCAATGGACTAGTTTTACATTTCACAACATGAGAAGCTTTGCTGTTCCAGACTCAGTACCCCACTGCATTTGGTGGTAGTTGAACCTTGATGAAACCTCAAAACTTGCAGCTAAGAAGTGACAAATTTTGTTTGCTTTTTTTTCTCTCTAGAAATTGCTAAGCAGTGGGTTTTGCATTGCAATCATAGCTCTGATAACTGAAGTTTCTTTTTTGTTTTTATTTTATCCAGTGACTAATTTTGTCATGCTTAAGCTCATGCGTAGTATCTTCTAGTAGGAGCAAAACTTTTAGAAAAGCTTTCCTGGTATTTTGCCAGTAGAAATCAACCAGGCTAGCTATCTGATGAGTACAAGATATCTTAGTTTCTTTGCTAACAATTTTGAATGTGGGTGTTATAACATCTGAAATTTTGTATAGGTGAAATCTCAGGAGCTGTTTGATGAGTGGGTGGCAAAGCTTCGTCATCACAGGATGTATCGTCAGAATGAAATCTCCATGTTTCCTCATGACGCCAATAATCTTTTCTTCCCAGTATCTACTACTGTGGATTCTGGCCCTGGTCTGTGTGATTTGACTCCAAGTAGAAAGGTAATAGTGATGATTTACAAACAATGAGCTTTTATCAGTGATTAAATTAGCCTGATTTGTTTTGAAGTAAAGAGCATAATGAAAATTTGTATGGGTTTAATTTGTGGTCTATAAAGAGCAAAATATTAGTATCTGTAAATTTACTCCAGCAAGTACTTTTCTCTGTGATATTGGTAAATTTTTTAATGTTGTCCCAGTGTTTTAAAGAAGTAAATTATATTTTCACAATGACTTTTAAAACTGGATATTAAGTTGGAATCCTCATGATTTTTGACTGTATACTATTATTTGTCTGATACGTGCTGGTGAATGTTAATGTGAGTCACAGAAGAGCACTCAGTTACATCTATATATATTTCCTCTTCTCAGATTTGCATTTTTTCTTAGCTGATAAAACCTCTCCCTTATACAGTAATACATCTGACTGTGGTTAACTAGTAGATAGGGATTATTGAACAGCTGTAACCTAAGAGTACTGCTTACACCTTGTGAGGTAGCCTCACAAAACAGTGATTTTATTGAGCACCTGAACACAGTCTGTCTCCAGCACTTTGCATATTGACTGGCTGATGTTCACAAAAGAAATGCTTCTGCTGTAGTGTAGAACCAGACCTCTTTTGAGAAAATATTTTTTTTTTAAAGCAATATTGTGCTGTACTTACTGTAACTTTTCTGTCAACTCCACAAATATATCTTATGCAGCAGTCACTTCTTTGTTATCCTACTGCCTAAGGTATTCTTTTTCCTGGCTATATTGCTGTACAGTCTGAGCAGGTTCATTTCACACTACCTGTAGTTTGAGGATTTTCTTTTTACTGATTTGATGGAACTCCTCCTGAGCAGTCAGCAGCACATTTATCATTGTGTACTGAGGAGTCTCCATCTGTCAAATTTTAGGTGGATGTTTAGGAGTGCTTTGTCAACTTATCCAGTATTTTTTCTCACACATCTTTTTTGCCTTCGAAGATGCACAGCACAGTGCATCCTCTGCTACTAACAGGAGAAAAAAAAAATGTAGGAAATAAATGTGGAGTGTTTATACTTCCCCTTCTGACCCTGAAAGACTGTTAAAGATGAGACAGCATCTCTTATTTAGCTACGTGTGCGTCTCTGGCTTGATAAAAGTATAATAGCTGCATAAGACTAAATCTGTGCTGCATTACAATGGGGGTTGAATAGCTATAGTATCATTTGGAACAGTGTCATTCTGAAGTTTGACTGTAGCTGTGTGGAGCTTAGGGTCTGTCTAAAAGGTCCTGATATGAGAGAATATTTGCTACTGTGCCAGGACAATGCTGTAGCTGAATGACAATTTTTTTTTTTCACCAAGCACAAACATGTGCCAGAATTGCTTATGGCTATTGGCTGAGAGGGAGGGGATCTGTGCACAATGGCAACTGAAAGAGCAGACTTGCCCTCTGGTAACAGCAGTGTTCAGCAGAGAGCAGTGTGTGTGGCTTTGTGGAGCCAGCACCTCTGTGACTCTGACAGCCAGTCTGCGAGGAAATGGAAAACCTTCTGGGGCACTCGAGTTCTTTTCTCCCAGAAGACAACTTGGATAGAAGGGGAGTACGATGTTGAGGGCAAAAATAGAACATAACAATGTCTATTTATGCCTTTGCTCTCAAAGAATAATAGAAAATATATAAAAAGGATCTACGTGACCAGCATATGTAAAATCTGTGCTTGCTGTCAGGTTATTAACTATTTCTTCTTTAGCGTGAGAGACTCTAATTCACTTTTAATTTATTAATCCAGATTTGCACTGCAAAGAAGCCCTGCTTATTTTCATGTGAAAAATAGAAGGGGATAGTTCTTAAGCTGCAGTTAATCACCTTAGCTCTGCTGAAGCTAAATGGAGGTTTGCCAATTTACACCAGCCCTAGGCTAATGTTCATTGATATCAATCCAATGGATAAATATTTTGGGAAAAACATAACTAGTGAACTTTGCATTGCATTCTGTTTGCCTTTAGAGACACCTGGTCAATTTTCACACTTTTTAAATAGCTCTTAGAGAATGAATGTATGTATCTATGTATATTTATGTGAAATTCTTGGATTCTAATGCTCAACCATACTGATTACAATTAAAATTAAGCTAACTGGAGCTTCACAAACTCTCTCTTGACTGTTTCTTAGCAATGTCGTCTTGTTTCTTTGCTCTTAATTATGCCCTTCACGTATATATGTTCTGGAAGAGAATTGGTTATCTTGCATTAGATAAACGTGGGATTTTTCTCCCAACGTCAACACGTTCCTTATCTTTAAGTTCAGTGCACTTCAGCTTTGAAAGGTACTGGAATCATTTGTGTTTATGTATGCAGATGACTGCAACTCATAGTGTTTTATGTAGGAATAAAACAGCTGAACTGCATAGGTTAATTTAAAAACTATTATGTTTATTAATTCTTCCTGCTATTACATGATATATAAATTGATGAATGACATCATCGACACAGTATTTGGAACTCAAACTGAAGCATGAATTATAAACTTTAGAAGGCTGACTATGAAAACAGCAATAGAATGAGAGAGATATGATGTTTCATATGAATAATTTTAAAACAAGTACTCCTAAGTCTTGGTAAAAGATGGGCACGTTTTGTAAAATCTGTGTTTTAGAGAAGAGCCAAACAACTTAGCTCTTCTTACCATCAGTGAAGTGGCCATGTAATGGCAGATAAGGTGACATTTTAAATAAAATATTGACAAAGTATTAATTGCTTTGTGCAACTTCCTGATGTATATATTAGTAAAAGGCAAAAGATTTAATAAAGTCTTAAAAATAGTTACACGTTTGTATGGGTACTATTTGTTGTTACATTAGAAAGAAAGCAGCTTTATAAGCCACTGTGCACTGATATAACCAGTATTGGGTGGAAATTTCTTTCCACTGGGAACTATTTCACTGTGCTGCTCAATTAACTCTTACTCATGACTTTCAGCATTTCTTGTAGCATCTGATAGTGAGCACTCCTGAAAGTTTGAAAAGGATTACTGAGACATTGCAAAGTGATAGTCTTTACCAAAGTAAGATGGAGGTCATACATGTATTAAGGTCTATCAAGCTAAATCCATACTAAAGTCATATGACTTAGAGTAAAATTTTTAGAAAGCATCTAGGATCATGCTTTCTTCATTGAAAAACAACTCTAAGGTCTAAATAACTATCTGCATGTTACATCTCAGTTACCTTTGGGCTTCTTCAGGAATTATATAAAAGAGAATGTGCTGTTTTGGTTCTGTGCCTCATGTGGCACTTTAAATGTATTAAATTGATTTAATTGATGCAGAGTTCTACCTTTCTTCAAACTTCAGTTTTCAGCAAAATTTTATTATCCCTTTTGTATCTGCTTTTGTATGTTATGTCCTAACAGTGCACTCGATGACTATAATGCATAATCCAGTTCATATGCTTTTTTTACCGCTGTGCTGCTGATGCCTTCAGTCCTTGTCACTGATTGTGGACCTCAATTGTGGCTTGTCAAAATCTGTTCTTACGAGTTTATAACATTATTTGTTTATTTTCTTGTTTTTCTCTGTAACAGGCAGGAAGCTTGACCAAACAAAACTCGCTGTCAGCTGGTGGTAATTTGTCATTTTCCTTTTCGAGTAATGAGTCGAGGATTCCATCTTGGCTGCAGTCTTCTGAAGACATGGAAAAATGCTCAAGAGGTAATGATATTTGAAGGAAGAAGAAAATAAACTGATATTTCCTTTACTACTTCTTGACAATGACACTACAATAGCATAAGTAGTCATTACAGTTTTTTCTGAAACAAGAGGAAGGCGGAAAGAGGTAGTTGTTGATTTCCTGCCTGCTTGCTTGTTTTCAAGAGAGCTAGTGAATGAAGAGGGTACCAGTTTGGAGGATCTCTTAAAGGAACCTATGTATTCCAATGTATTTTCTTTTACGACCGTTACACTTGTTAGTAAAACTTGAAGTGTCTTAAACTGGGTTCCAAATCACCTTCTGCCCATACTTTCCTGAAATAATAAAGATCTCTTGTATGTTGGTAAAAGCTGCATCATGCATGTATTTTTACCTACTATGAGGTGTTTTATCTCTAGCTCTGCATGAACTGTTCAGTCTCAAAGTCTATGGCATTTTTACCATCTCCACAGGTCACTAGTTTGGGTGACTAGTCCTATATGGCAGTAACTCATTTTATCTTGTATTTCTACAACCAACTATGACAAAACACCATATATCAGTATACAGGCTTTATAGAGGCATTTTAATATTATGAAGACAGAAGGATGCAAGCTGTTTTACCCAGTTGTCTAATAGTCTGTTTTTTTTGTCAAATAATAACTTAAGCCAGCAACAATGAAAATAAAGCTAGCCTATAAACAAAAAACTTTCATTATATTTGTTACTTCACAGCAACTGAAAATATTCTTCTGTTCAAAACAGATCTGTCCACTTGTCACGCATATTTACTGGAAATGAACCAGCTGTTACAGAGCATGGATGTCCTTCACAGGACCTATTCAGCGCCTGCTATAAATGCTATGCAGGTTTGTTGTTTACAAAACAAAAAAACCCTTTTCCCTTGCTATTCCAAAAAGCAATCCCTAATTCTAAATGATCAAATTATTTACTCTTAACTTTGCTACTTTTATGACCATCCATATTTTGTCTTGCTTGTTATTAAAAGGTTGGACCTTTTGAAAGCCCAAAGAAGGAAAAGAGAACACATAGGAGGTGGCGATCTAGAGTTGTTGGGAAAGAGGCTAAGGGAACATTACAGGTGACTTCAGTCCTTTCAGTAGCCCATCTTTTCTTCGATTCTTATTTATTGATAATTTCTTGGCATAGCCAGTTTACGAAATAAGAATCCTTTTGAAGTACTGTTTGACTCTGACTCATTTTATGCAGTGGTATAATGTACAAAACACTAACGTGTCCTTGTTAAAATCTGCAATAGGAGCTATACTAATTTGTTCAGGAGATAAACCTGTTTTTCACTCATTTTTTCTAGTTTGTCTCCAATTGGTGGCATGGGAGGTGTATCTGCTATTTTTTCCTCTTTTTAGCAGTACCTATTTTTGCAAATTCTCCGGGTAGTTTTTTTTTTTGTATTTGCATCCAGTGTGCTTGTTATTAGATGCTTATAAGCAGAGAAAAAAAAATACTATTGCATATGTTACAACTCTCAATGGACTTCTTTCTTGGAGTTTTGTCAAATCTCCAACTATGAAATCTTGGGCAAAATTTTGTCAGTGTTTTCATCTATTCCAAGCCTTTTGCTAATGGTAGTTCAGTTAGCTTTGGTGTCCCAGATACGAACAATTAAAAATAAAATTCTTTACAGTTTGTCTAAGAAACAAGACAGAGACAATCACAAATTTACTGTTATCCTTACAGGTGCCTTCAGTATTTTCTGCCCCTATGAGACTACATGCTTCCAATCCTAACTTATCTACAATAGATTTTGTAGAAGAGAAAAACTACTCTGATGGCTCTGAAACATCATCAGAATTTACTAAAATGCAGGAGGACTTATTTCATATTGCACATAAAGGTGAATAAAGTCTGTTTTTCATATTTTATATCGTCTCAATTTAATGTGATTTCTGAAAACAGGTCCTTTTTAATATTTAGAAAAAGCACGAAACGCCCTCCCTTTAATTCCCTTGTGGGACTGTGAATGTTGATGTCTTGAGTCTTTTGAACAAAATGACTTGTCCCATTTTTATTTTTTATGAAGGGCCTCCCTTTGTTTAATATGTTAGATCAAGATTCTGTTTGTTGCCCAAGTGTAGATGAGCACAAGTATGTTTGTATACTAACGTTGGCTCACAGTATTTGAGAGTTCACCATTTGCTGGTGATGGAAAGGTTGCTATGGTAGTAACCTATTTTTAGTGAATACATAAGAGTAAAATCATGTGAAGCCACAGGAGGGGCAGCTTGACTGTAAATGTTTTGTCTCTTGAAGTCATTCTTCATAGAAATACTTAGCCCTGTCACCCTCTGACCAGAAACATTTTTATTGTTTAAGTGCATTTATGTCTGAAAGACTTTTGGAAGGATAGGTGTTGCTCCTTTTTGCATAAGATGAGTTGTTTGATGTTACCAGTATGCATTCTTTCATTGTTTTTGCCCTCTGGTGCTGATGTATCTTGATTCTGTTATGGAATGAATATATCTATCTCAGTAGTAAACTTTATAAAGTAAACTGTAATCAAAACTGATGCATGTTTTCTGAAAATAGAAAAGAGGGTGGGAGCACAGCTGGAAAGGTGCTATCTACAGGAGCACTTGAATTCTCCTGTTCAGGATGATGTTAACTAAAATGTCTGTGTCACAAGTTTTGGTTAGATTGAACTATGCACTAAGGGGACAAAGGACTACATGCTATTTAATACAATACATTTTATTAAGAATGCAAAAACTACTTTATACCACCAGCTTTCTGGAAAAAAAGTGAACTTATTCTTTGACATTCGATACAGCTGAAATGTATCGTTAGTACTTTATTCTATAAACGTTCTTGAAAATTTATGTTAGTATACCAGCTATTAAATGAGATGTAAGGTCACTGAGGGTTCTGGTCATGTCTCCTACATGTGAAAGGCTAATGTAAAATAGTTTGTAATGGACACATCTTCCTCTTCACCCCCAAGGAAGTTGTTAGATTTCTTCACATAGATTAAACTGTGAAAATTAGTTTTGATAATGGTTTCTGATGATGAAATACACTTAAGGATTATTTTCTTTTTAAGATTAAGTTATCTTACGTGAAATACTCAATAAGGTAATAATTACACAGATTAAATCTGGGAGATATAAAACATGCCTTGTTCTTTACTCTTCCCGTGCATCTACACTCAGGGTTTGTTTTTTTTTTTTTTAATCTCCATTTCACTGGTAAATTCCCTGATAAATTTTTGCATTTCCTATTCTTGTGATTTTATTGTAAGACTTGAACAGTCCCTCAAAAATCTGCTAGTTCTGCAGAATGATGAATGTTGAAGTACTACATAAACATTACCAGATTAAATTTTTATTCCTCATGGCTATGTAAAAGATGTCTCAAAAAAACCTTGTGTGATCTATTATCTAATTTGCCTGTTTTGGGCTAGTGAAAAGGACTCAGAAAGAAGTGGGAGCATCGTTGCGTTCAGGATCTCAGCTGTTGAGTCAATAAATCATCTAACAAGCTGAAATGTCATTGTACCCGAAATGAATCACCACTGTTAACTTGTGGTGAAAATACTAACTCTATAGCTGTGACACTGTATGTGTTATAGCTGCCTTCTTGAGTGATTTATTTTTCTCCTTCTCTCCCCTCCCCCACTGGAATTCATAAAGGAATGTGGAGTAGAATCATGACCATCTGAAGATTCTAGCTAATTGGGAAACAAAAGCAAATGAAGAGTAGACGTGGTTAGTTAGCTTTGTTGCCATCTGTCACAAATTAATCAAAGCAGTTTTGACTGTGGCTAATATAGTCATCATGTTAGCATTTACCATAAACATTTCTCCTGGTTAAAAAAAATAAAATCTGATAATATTGAATAATATACTATCCTGGATCTCTCAAACTAGATTCTTGTTTCTATCTCCATAAATGATGTTTCATGGAAATTTGACATAACTGCTGTGTTATGTGTAGCTGCTTTTAACCTCATTTTTTTTACAAAATGGTTCTAGTGTACTTCACCTTGAAGTCAGCTTTCAGCAGCATATCTACAGAGAGGGAAAAGCTGAAGCAGATGCTAGAGCATGAGGCATCATCATCTCCATCTGCACAAATAGTTGGCTTGAAGAATGCCTTAACGTCTGTAAGTGATATGCTGAAGTTCAGCAAGCTTCATTATCATCAGTTATTACTTTTAAATTTTATAGTAGTTAATTTCCGTTTTGTTAGTGTCTGCTCTGTGCTAAAATTTACAATATTGAAGAATAATGAATCATGATTATACATGGTATTTTACAAAGACTGTCTTTCCTAAATGGTAAAGGTACTGTGAAATCATGAAGACTTGATAGATCACACTGTGCCCCTAAATAAATCTGTGTTACTTGATGCTAAGTATGAGAGTTGCTTTGTGACTGAGTCTACTTTATCTGGATCAATCATTCCATTCTGATATGCTGTGGCTTTTCCTAAACAGCACCAAACATTTGCTATACCTTGGCACAAAATAAAGAAAGGAGCAGCTGAAGGCACTGGGCTGTCCTTTCTGTTGCACCAGAGCTTTGCTGCTCTGCACCAAAATACTGAAAAACAAACTCAAGTACAGCTTGTTTTATTGGCTTCCACCTTCATCTGTTAGTCATCTGAAAGCAGCAATGGATTAGTTAGAACAAAATCCTAAATGACAAAAGATTATGCTCTTTAAAAGGTTGGTTGGATTTGGTTGGTACACTTTTTTCAACATGAACTGGTCTCAAAACAGTTTCAATATATCAACAGTAACCTGATTTCAGAACAATGAGGGCCATCATTACCATGATCTTAAAATTTCAGTCTGTGTTTCAAATTGCTAATCAGAGGCAGGAGTGACTTTGGTTAAACGTGGTATAGATCTTAAAATCAGTTCAGTATAAAAGCTTGCTTTGTATTACAAAAGTTGTGTGTGGTTATAGCGTTTTAGGTTAAAATGTTTCTTTCCCTAGACATGTAGAAGTTGTGATGTCTTCATAGAATTTGGAGAACAGTGGAGCTTGTTGCATAAAACTACATTCACTCATTTGTTTTTGGCTTTCAGCTGTTCCACTTGAGGCATCTAATTGGGTGACTTCACTTTTTCCAATGTTATTTGCTTAAAATTTTACATTTAAAAAAACCGGTTCTATGGTTTGTGAACTGAGTGAACACTCAGCTAAACCTGGATTCTTTTTTAAGTGATAAAATTCTGTTCATCCTCTGTCTTTTAAAAATCGTGCTCTTTGTTCTTATTTGTTATTTAATAACCCTTCTGTAACCCATCCAGATGCGATTTCTGAACTCTGGCAGTTCCAGCAGACGTGACATCTATGTGAAAGCTATTCTTAGCCTTTAGCTCTGTAAAGCTGTGATGCCAACAGAAACTTTCTCACCATGCACAGCAGAGAATCCTGTAGGAGAAAAGAATGAGCTTCCTTTGAAGTGTTCTGGAAACACAGATATGATAAACTCTAAGACTGTTCCTTTCAAGAGAGTCTTGTAATCATGACTTCAGTATTTGTTTTTTATTAAAATTTTTATTCAGTTCATAAGGACCAAAACTCATACAGGTTGAAAGCTATCAACTATTAGGCTGTTTGGTTCTTAGTGATCTGGCAGGGGAAGAAATCAAAACAAAGTTGAAGTGCATAAAACACATTTTTCAGAATAAGCATCTCTGCCTTTGCTTTTCCCTTATCAACATGCTATTTTTGACCTCCACACAGCAAATAGACAAAAGTGAACAGAAAAAGTGAATGGAAGAAAGCACAAGAGAAGGAAGTGATTTTAACATGATATACAGGAGGGCTATATAAATTCTTTATTGTATTAGTTTGATGATGTGGGTATAATATGTAAGATTGTACACTTGAGAGACGAGTGCTAAATGCTGGTATGTTGAAGCTAGTCCACACAAATGTAAAGCAAGAGAACACTTCTTCTCCCATTCACCATTACTTCAGACCTACTGTCTTTCCTACTTCCTACAAAAACTACTCTCAGAATCAGAATTGGACAAAGTAAATGCATAAATTGCAATGCTCTTGTATTGATTCACATTGCAGAAGTAGGCAGTAAATCTTCAGTTTTGTTCCATCCTGATGGCTGGATTGTTTCTTTTAATTTTTGTGTCTATCAGAGTCTCTGCTACAGAAGGATTTTTTTTTTCCCTAAATATTTCCATTAAAAGGCTGTCAGGACACACACTGTAAACTGTTTTTTGATTCAGTGTTAGAAAGAGTTCTGCAACTCTGCTAGCTGTAGAGAATGACTTGGAATGGACAGATTATCCTGTCTACTTTTGCCAGAGGAAATATTTCAAAATAGTAAAAAATCTAATTAATTTATAATACAGCTTAAAGCAGGCTGCCATAGAAGAGATTTGGTATGTAAAGAACAAATCCTAGGAAAAGAATGTTACAAAAAAATCTTTTCTTCATTCTCACTTTTACTTTGATACAAAGCTGAGACCAAATAAATCTCATGCTCTTGGTACTTCTAACAATCTAAGGATTTGCACAGATTTGAGACTTTGCAGGATGAAGAAGCACTAAAGTTGTTCCTCAGATTCCTATCCAAAGTCACCCCTTTCCTTCAGCTCTACATCAAACCATTCATATTCTGTGGTGGAGCATATTTCAGATGTATCTTAGCAAGAAGATTCACTGCTGTGTTTCTGTATGACAGGAGAAATGTGAAGATGTTCAGGTGGAAGAGACCTCTTTTGTAGCAGTTTTTAAAGGAGAACATGTTAAAATAAACAGAGTAATCTACGTAGCCCCATCAGAAACTTAAGTATGCTTCTTGGTTCTCTTGAAGAAGAGGAGACGGAAAAAAAAAACAAAACTGTTTTATGCTTACTTATTCCTATATTTGCTTCCCTCTGTGGTTAAATCAAACTTGAAATCCTTATGGATGATCAAAGGGCTGGGGCTGGAACATCTCTTCTAGGAAGAAAGGTTGACTGAGCTGGGATTAAATCTCTGGGGAGACCTTATTGCAGCCTTCTGATACTTGAGAGGGAGGGCCACAAGAGATGAGGAGAGACTCTTTACTGGGGTATGTCTTGATAATAAAAAGAGTAATTGTTTTAAATGAAAAGGTAGATTTTAGGTAAGATAAGGAAGAAATCCTCTACTATGAGGATGAATAAGGCTCTAGAACAGGTTGCCTAGAGAAGCTGTGAATGCTCAGTCACTGGATGCATTGAAGGTTGGATGTGACCCTGGGCAGCCTGATCTAGTGGAAAGTTCCTGTGGCCAAGTGGTTGAAACCATATAGTCTTTAAAATCCCATGCCATTTTATGATTTCATGGTTGACAGTCACCAAGAGGAGATAACAGCTGTACCCCAAGCATGCCTTTCAGAGGTCAAGTAAACATCCAGGAATTATAGACGTAGTCAAAGCAGCAGGGAAGCATCTGAAAAAAAAAATATATATATACAAAAAAATAAATCCCTGGTTTCAGGGAATAAATAAGCTCATAGGGCCATCCAAACACCCCAGCAGAGTGAAGTCTTGTCAGACTCTTGGTTCAGGCTAATCCTCAAGCAACAAACAGGCTCCTAGAGCTTCTCCACCTTCAGTAGTTCCAACAGAGTACAGGGGAAAACGCACCTGATCTCAGAAGTAGTATTGTCTAAAGGACTGCAGTGGGGGCAGTGGCTGGAGGAGTGCTAGCTAGTCCATAGAGTGTGTGTTGTTCGAATTATTCTGCACAGCTGGGAGACAGTAACTGCTTCTGTGTAACTTTATGCTCCATGCACTTGCAAAAGAGTATATTACCATAAGTACAGTTGGTCTTACAATGCTACATGTAATTGTAACACTGAGGAATTGGATTCCTCTTCATGCATAAGCATCCCAGTTTCTGAAATGAAGCAAAGAAAGAGCTGTTTCACTATCGATATCTGTAGAGGCTTATTTTTTAAATGGAGTAAATTTAAAACAATGCTCATTATGCTTATACATAATTATAAAGCAGTGGAATATAAAATAGTATGGAATATTAAAAAATACATAGTACAACTGTAGTAAATACAGATACATATTTTTCTCAGCAAAAAAAAAAAAAAACAAAAACAGAGCTAAGTTGTTGGTTTTTTTGTTTGTTTGGTTCTTAAGTATGTTGTTTGTTCATAGTTTTTCTGTATGGTTTGGAGGAGTCTTTCTCCCCTAGGGCCTCATTACATCCAGTGAAGCTTGCCCCCTGCCATTTCTGGAATTGTCTCTGGGAAAACAATGTCACGTACAGTGGTTGTCTTATATTCATTCAGAATATTTTCTGTTCTTGCCTAGTGCAGTAGTACCACTTCAGTTGAGGTGCAGCAACAAAAATGGAAGATAGCTTTGTCTTACTAATTAGTCTGAAGTCTTACATCTCTGTTAGTGGAAAACAAAGAGAACTGTATATCAGCTTGATGAAAAAGAAAGTCACTTTTCAGTGTGGCAAGAATGAGAACATTTAGAGACAAGATAGAGGTGAGGGAAAGGAGCTTAAAAAAATGATGATGCACAAAATTCATTCATTCTTAATTATATCACCTTGCACAATCTAGTAACTTGAAAGTGCCATCCCTGGCTCTTGTTCTCCACTTGTCTTCTCCCTCACACTGAACAAAAATAATTTTAGAGACAAGGTACAAGATTTTAACCATTTATAACAAATAATTTGCTACCAGTAACCAATTATGTGTTTAATACTGCATTTAAAATACTCCTTCCCTTTCTTTTTACACAATGAAACCACTGTTCAAATTAGTTGAGAGAACTTTATATCCCCAATATTTTTGTTAAATATTCCAGGCAATAGCACAAAACACAGATCTAAAAGACCGGTTACGCAGAATACATGCCGAATCTATGATCCTTGATTCAGCATCTAATGCAAAATCAAGTCCAGATTTGGTGAAGGTGGGTATGGATTTCCTCTTTCAGTGATCTTTTCCTCAAGCTCCTACATCTAGATGGTGTTACATTTTGTCCTGTTCTTCATGTCTTCCCTACAGTGTATTGTGTTAGCAAAATGGGTCCGCTTTTGTGATTATGAATCATTTCTGTTGATGCATTGTGTTATTTTTAATTTCAAAGATTTTCCTTGTGAGTAGTTTTCCTGAGCATACCACCATTGCTTTTGCTACTGGCTCCTGGTAATTCTCCCTCACCTCCTGCCCACTTCCCATTCAGCATGAACAAAGCTGCCTTGTCACCTGCTGCCAGTGGTTCTCTCTCCTTGCATTCCCCTGTTAACTTTCATGCCTGTCTGAATACTGTTAGCCCAGAACACTAACTACTGGTGTGACTGATTTAATGTTTAGAGCCATTAATAGACTTTTCATGAAAGAATCAAAGAAATGAAATGTATGGGATCTTCAGCCATTTAGTTCTGTGTGTTTGAGAACAGGGAGTCTTCTGCATATCCAGTTAGCCAGTTTGAGATGCACTGAAGTACTGGCAGTTTTTTGGCTCACTTCAGAATGCATATGAATGTGGTGTATTTATAGATCATAGGACCTAGATGTTTAAGATTCCAGTAAGGGAAGCAAGAACTTATTTCTGATGAATTTTCCTACATGCTGACTGATACAGAAACTTCTGCTGTGCTTGTATAATAAATCCTGCATTAGAACTTGAATGGATGTGGTGTTGGGTTTTATATAACATACTATTTCCTTTCATTTTTAAAGGCAGTTTAGTCATTCAGTCTGTTCATTTCTATTTTAGTTCCATTTTAGAAGTACTGATTTTAGTCATATTTTGCCTCTCCTCTTTTAAGGTAATTGATCATTTCAGTGTCTTTTGTTTTTAATCCCATAAAGTTCTTGAATAGCACTGATATACAGAGAGGCATTAATGAATGAGTACATTGGTTTTTAATTTCAAGAGCAATCATCATGTTTAGTGGAAGACCTTGTAAAGATATTGGGTTATTTCTCACACATAGAATTATAGAATTGCTTAGATTGGAAAAGACCTTATAGCTCATCAAGTCCGTGCTGTATGCACTGCATATGTAGTGACAAAATTAGCTTTTATGTCCTTTAGGGCATTTGTTGATGAAATCCCTCTGGAACTTACAGACAAAAATCATTTATACTGGAAAATTTTCATATTAGATTGTCTGAGGACTGCAATACAGTACTGTTGCTGTGAGGTCACTGCACAAAGCTTGGCTCTAGATGAAATATCTGCTGCTATGATAGGCCTGTGGAAATTGAAGCAGTATTAACTAGTTTTTCAAGCCTTTGCATAAAATGAACATTTACTTTATATTTTGAGTCATTTATGGTGCAGTTCATCATGCCACAATTGAAACATGAACAAAGTGAAGCTCTCATGTGATTAAATATAAAAACAAAATGTTCTTTTATGAGCCTCTTCTGCTCATTTTGCTTCTGAGATTCAAAATAGAGTTGGAAACAATCCCAGTTGCACTCTTCATGCACATAGGAAATTTTTTTTTGACTTGCAGGCCAATGTAACTGCCTTCCCCCAGAAGAGTCAATTTTGAGGTTACTTCTTTCTTATGGCTTTACTGGGATTATACAATTTAAAAAAAAAAAAAAAAAAAAAAAGCAGAAATCTTCTGTAAGTAACAAACCAAACTTATCAATGTCACCATTATCAGCACACAGTGAATAACATTCTATATTGTAGTAAAACCAACAGAGAAGCCTCAAAAGATTTGTCAGTTTGATTACAGACTTCCCAGATAATTCATTGAGTTCTGAAAGTAAAGCTCTAAAATTTTTTTAATTTTGCAATTCCTACAAAATTATGATAGCAAGGGCAGCCATGGTTACAAGAATGCATCACGTACAGAAAGAAGCTTGAGAGCAGCTGATATGCTAATTTGGACCAGCCAGCCTTATTCCTTAGTAGGGATGGAGCTATGAGGGAACTACCAATACTCACTGGTAGTCCCACCTTTGCTATACTACATTTGGCAACTCTGCTTATACCAACTACCTATAGAGAGAACTTGGGGTTCCTGCAGGTGGAGGTCATGAAATCTGTACATTTTGTACAAACAGAACTTCAGCAGCAAAAGCAATATCATTGATGCAGCTTTGATAATATGCTGGCTTGAGTTGATACACAGTTCTTGGGTGTGAATATGAAGCTTTCTGAAGCATAGCAAGGAAGATAGCCAAGTGGAGATAGTCAGGAAAACATTGCTGTTGCATAGAAAATAACTTCACCCCTCTGAATTTGTGTGCTACTGCTTGACCAGACTTGCATTAAGCAAGGCCAGAGAAAGAGAAAACTAGTAAGTTTATTAAGATCAGCGAAGAACGAGAATCCAGCATGTAGTAAAAAAAGTTGGAACTTTCTCCTTTGTGGGGATTTCTTAGTGATACACTTGCATACATATCTGTCTGAACCTCTCAAAAATCAATGCATTTTCACATTTTTTGTCAGAGGAAGCAGTACATGGCACAGTATGAACTGATCTACTGAATTGTAGATTTTTTTTTCTTTTTTAGTCTATTTTCATTTGGTTTTAAATACCCTCCTCAGAACATGCTACCTTTCACTAAGTTGGAAAAGGAGCATGTGCAATCTTCTCCCAGGTGTTCTACAACCCTTTAACTTATGTGACTGGATTTATATGCATGAATGCTATTTGTAGTATTCTTCCTCTCAACATTTTGTATTTCTTTTGAACAGGAAAATTCAAGAGAAGAAAACAGAGGTCTGGTTCACCAGATCTCCAATGAAAGCAGACTGTCTATTGCTGACTCTCTTACAGAATTTTTTGATGCACAGGAAGTCCTACTGTCTGCTAGTTCTTCAGAAAATGAGGTCTGAGCTTTAAGGTTGACACTTTTCTTATCTAGTTCATTATCTGCTACTCAACATGTGGTCTTTCAGTGTGCTAATTGCACATCAGATGATTTGACAAAAATAAGTTACTATGCTGCTTGTGTTCATTTGTTATCTCTTTACAGTTGAATGTAAAAAATTATTGTGGAAAAGTCTTATATGCACATTGAGGAAAATGGCAAACAGGTAGCTCATATGCAGACACTGCATATATTGTATGATCTGTCTTGAGTCATCGTGCAAGAGCTAAGGAAATTCTATCACAGAAATATAAATATATCTGCCCTTTAGGTATACCTTGGGGCCAAGACTACAGATACTAAAACTTAATAGCTCACTTCTCCAGGACCCCCTAAATTCTTGGTGTTTGATGTGGTGAAAGCCCTTCTAGCTCTGAGACCAAGAGAATAAAGCACATTTTCACTAAGATAAAAAACTGAATTATCGCTGATGGTAATAATTCCCAAAGTATTTAATTCTGAGGTCCACTTAGTACTTTTCTCCAATGCTGAAATACAGCTTAAAAAGTTTGGATCTACAAGAAATATTAATTGCAGCAAAAAGTAACAATTTGTGTGCACGTGGAATTACTTTAATGGGTATGTTAGTGAGTAACATATCTTATCCTGCACATAGGTATCAGATGATGATTCATACGTAAGTGATATCAGTGATAATGTCTCAGAAGATAACCTAAGTAATGACATAGAGAATGAAAGACAAACTTTAGGTAAGTTGAGGGTCTTATGATATCATGTTTTGGGAATTTGTTTCTTGTTTGAGGTATTTTTTTGCGTTTTGTTAGAAAACATTTGATATTACAGATTGTGATATAGACAGCTTGTGTGGTCTTTTCCCCCTCTTATCACCTCAGACTGCTTTTGAGCAGCACATTCTGATTAATCTGATTAAAAGGGCCAAGGCACCATTGTTTAAACAGGATGGTGGTTCAGTATCAGCAGAGAAACACCGATGTGCTTGTCCTCTCAATTTCAGCTCCTTTTCAGATCTTTCATGGCCACAGGCTTTTTCAAACTAGTAAGGCTTACTGCTTTTGGTTGCTTTTTCATTTCATTTTTCTCTAGAAATGAATGTGCTTCAATATAACAACCATGTTCAAATTTGTCATTTTTAGTAGATTTTATTGTTTAAAAGAACATGTCAATTATTTACTGTCACACCTCATGCCTGACCATACAAGTTTCTTCTCTGCCTGTTTTAATTATGACAGGCTTGTTACTGGGTGCACTTATTTAACAGTCTTGCTAATTAGAGATAATAAAAAAAATGGAGGCAGAAGAATTGGTATAATAAACTAATTAGCTTTGTGCTTTCAGAGCATTTCATCTAATCACAATCTTCTTCCCGCTTCATCTATGTGTTACATTCAGTAACACTTGCAAGTGTTACCTGATCATCTCCAAGGATGAGTGGATCCCTTTATATTCGGGTAGTTAACGTGTTTGGAGATCTGTTTGTAACTGTTTTAAAAATGAAGATGTTTTGAAATACAGGATTGGTTTTCTTTTCCTCGTAATCTGAATCTTAGAAAACTAAGAACGTAGCTGTGTTCATCTTGTAACAAGGACCACCACTGAAACTATGCTGTGTGAGCAGAACCTCTGTGTACTTCTGATACCTTTTTCTGTGCCTTGGTCAGTCTCTCTCTCCCATTGCAAACTGGGTACCTTTTTTTCCCTACACGGGCTTTCGCTGAGTTATGAATTGTGGGGTTTTGATAAAAATCTTTTGTCCACTGCACTGTCAAAAGTCAGACCAGATGACAGCAGTGGTCCAATCTGACTTGAAAAGTCACTGATCCAAGCAGGAGGTCAGGTGTCTTAGTCTCCTTCAGTGTTGTTGTGGCTGTTTTTCCACAGGTCTTGCAAACCAGAGGGGATTTCTTTTCATTAGGAGTGGGCAAACTACACTGTAGAGAGAAATCTTATCCATCTGACAAAATCTCATCTGAATCAAAATTGATGTATAACTAAGCAAAGTACCTGTTGCAGAAGCTCATAGCTCTATTTTAATTCAATAGATGCAACTTCATTGCACACCTTCAACTATTTATTCTGGTCTGACTGCTTTGACAACTCTGGCCACCTCAGGTATTCTTATGGTTGAGTCTTTTTTTTTTTTTTTTTTTTTTTTTTAAATATTAGCAAACCTAAGCTCCAAAATTGCTTCAGTTTTTCTACCTGTTAAGCAGGTAGAAAGCAATATATGCAATTAAATAAGCAATACATGGGTGTATCTAAAAGTCAATGTGGTTTAACATTTTTAAAATGCTCAGTGCTATGGCAAGCACAGTAGGAAAGCCTTCATGTAAATCTGTGCCACAGTAGATTTCCTTGGAAGCAGTATCAAAAAAAAAAAAAAAAAAAAAAAAAAAAAAAATAGATAGGAGTTACTTTGGTGCTTGGATCTATAATTTATTCCTTGTCTTCTGGGAAGTGGCAACTTAATTGAAGCTCTGTCAGGGAGGGAGGTTTTTTGTCACTTAAACAGATAGGAATCTATCTCTGTTACGACTAAGACAGCAATAATATTTACTCTTTCAAATTCAGCAGAAAGCCTGAGTCTCTCTCCTAGCCTTTAAGGGAAAGGAGGTAGTTTTTCACGCGGCTTTTCTACCGTCAGTTAACTTAGAGATATTAAAGTGATGTTTATTCTTTACCCCTTTGTAGCAGCCTATCTTTAAACCACAGGTGAAGTTATTTGAATGAAATGTGAGAGTGAAAGGTGGTTTTGACAAAAAAAAAGTTACATCTTAATGTATATTTGTAAGAGGGATAAAAAGTAAGTAAATGACATATTAACTCGTTCTGCATATTTATTTTCAGACTGTATTTCTGAAAGTGGAATTGGATGTCATTCTAAAAGGAGAACATGTTTACCAGCTCCATGTCCCAATACTAGTAACATCAGCCTATGGAATATCTTAAGAAACAACATAGGAAAGGATCTCTCCAAAGTGGCCATGCCTGTGGAATTGAATGAGCCACTTAACACCCTTCAGCGTCTCTGCGAGGAGCTGGAATACAGTGAGCTACTAGATAAAGCAGCTCATACACCCAACCCATTTGAACGGATGGTAAACACTTAAGATTCTTAATAATAATCAGTACAAGCAGAAGAGAGTACAATGTAAAAAAAAAAAAAATAATAATCTGTCAAATACATGAAGGCATTCTACTCCATTTTTCTTTCCATCCAGCTGAGAAAGGCAGGCTCCTGTCTGTGTTTGTTTCCACTTTTTTCCAATTTCCACTGTTTTCCAGCTTGTGTACCCACTAATTTTTATTCTGCCTAATTCCTTTTGCTTTGTTAAGGAAGTGTATCTCCTGAAGTGCCTTATCCTGCAAGATTAAGTGAAGTACAAGTTGAAATCTGGTTTGTATCTTTTCTTCCTCCTTCCTCTTCTAGTTTTCCAAGAAGAAAAACTTGGAGCAGAGGAGTGAACTATTATGCTTCTCTCATGAGTATGGAAATTACAATACTATATATCTTTATAATGTGAAGTTGCCTAATTTGGAAGCAGTTCTCCATGGTAGATAGTGGGTCTTCCAGCCCTGCCCTACTGTGATAGCTTTGTGTCAATTAAGTGAGCTCCATTTGTTTTATCAGCTGATTTTTTGTAATTCTGAAGGTGCTACAAAGTGGTCAGGAACTCAAAACTAGGCACTGCTTATGTATGTTGATTACTATATTGATGTCATCTTCCACTAACATAGAATCCTGAATTTGGTAGATAACAAGAGAAAATTTATTTCAGTTGTTTGCTTCTAGATTCACAAGAGTTACTTAATGTGTATGCCTATAAATAAAAGATTTTAAAGCTCACTACATTCTCTTAAATAGAAGAGATGGATTGTACCATACACTAAATTAAGTCTTCTGATCAATATTTCTTACTTTAAAATGAGACTATTAATGAATGTAATTAATTACATTATAAATACTGCTCAAAAAGAACTTGCTCCAACTCTACCAGGATCATAACTTTGTGTCTGTCATTGGGATTTAGAGAGTGTAATACAATGGAGAGCATAGTAATGACAGCAAAATAGCAAGGTCCTAGGTTGCAGCAGGCGAGGGTTTACTCAAATGCAATAGTCAGCATCACAGAGATAAAGGAAAACCACACTTACCTTTAGAAGGTCTCAACTATGCAGGGGTCTCTAGCAAGATACCCTTACCTCCACTGCCAACCTTTAAATGAGATCTGGGAAGGGGTGTATCCTTCCACTCACTTAGGTGCATTGCTTGCACCTGTGTTCCCTTGGGTTGGTTCTGCTTTCCTACCAAGTGCTCAATTACTGCTTGGAGCCATGACTTAGCATTTCTGCTGCAGGGTGTGGCTGTTAATTTGTTCTTTGCATAGAACTCGTTTTTTGTTTTTGTTAAGAATAAGCGTTAAAAGAAAATGCACAGGAGGTCTTTGCATAGGAATGCAAATAAGTCTCTTTGCTCCTTCCCACACCTAAGCATCTGGAAATTGAATTGGAATGTAGTATTCTTTGACTCTGAAAAACTCTTGAGGTAAAATTATTGTTAACTGTTGTATAGTAATTGCAACATTTTGCTTCAGAATAGCTCATTTATTAAGTCAGTTTCTGAATTTGTGAAAGGAACACACTACTCTCATAAAACGTGGAAAAGGAAATGAAAAGGAAGAAAAATTGTACAAGTTGCATTGAATGTAGCAAATTTTGTGAAAACTCTCACAGTATTTCCTGTGCCATATTTAGGGAAAGGATAGCGAGTAGATCCATAGAATAACAGACCATAACTGTAAAAGCCAATTACAATACAAAATCTGTCAGTGGTTTTTAAGTTTACTGCTTTCAATTCTGTGTGTTCCGAAATACTGAATTGTTTCAAACTGTTTTCAGAGACACTGTTTTCAGTCAAATAATTTGTGAAGTTTGATCCTATTAACTCTATCACTGGCCTCTTGAATGATTCATTGAAAACTGAAAAACTCTATAATGTATGAACTAATGCTTAACTCCCAGGAGGAGGCATACACATTTGTAGTCTGCAAATAATGGAAAAAAGAAATAGGTGATATCAGGATAAGGCCTTTGTTTGTATTCTCTGTTAAGTCTGAATCTATTGAAAAAAAAAGTGCATGATTGTGATAAAGTAATCAGAATTCTCTGTGTGTTATTTCCAGGTATATATAGCTGCGTTTGCAGTATCTGCATATGCATCCAGTTACTACCGAGCTGGAAGCAAGCCATTTAATCCTGTTCTTGGAGAAACCTATGAATGTATTCGTGAAGATAAGGGTTTCCAGTTCTTTGCAGAACAGGTACTGTATGCTGCAACATTTACTTTTGCTATTTGATAGACTACTTAATTCTGAATGCATGGCTGGTATCCCCCAGAGCTATAGCAAAATACATTACTCTGCATCACCTTAGCCCAGCAAAACTCAAGGGATGCTATAGAATTATAAATGAAGGAAATGGCTTTGTTTATTGAGGAAAGGCAGCAAACGCTAGGATGGAATGTGACAATCAGTTGCTGACAGTCAGAAGCAAAGGCTTGGCAGGCTGTTACTCCAGTAACTAGGTAACTTGTTTAAGTTTCTCATTCTGAAATCTGATCGCTACAAAAGGCTTTATGTTCTTGTCATGTTCTTTTGTGTGCAATTGTTTAAAATTTTCATAACAAATTGTCTTTTTTACAGCAAATATTTCATTCACATGAGTTGATCAACCACCAGTATTTTCTATGTCCAAATACTCCCTGTCCAAATACTTTGTGGGCTAAGCCTGTCAAATCTGGTACCACGGCTTAGTAGCTGAAGGATGTATACAGCACATCAAGGTCTGCGTGTTGCTGAAAATAGCCTTCCTGTAGTATGGTTATTAAGCATGGGTAAAAAATATATAATATTTGAACCAGTCCGGATACCAAAATTGCTAAGCTTGAGACATAAGTTAAAATGAGGTAGAATTTGAAGAATTTGGTTCCTGTCAGAATTTAAGGATTGAAAGCTGTCTTATTCTGTCTAGACATTGCAACAAAAATTAGAAAATTAAAGTAGGCAAGGCTGTGCAGCCTAGAAATTTGATCAGTGAAAGCCTCGTAAGAGACTTCTATTATTAAATGAAAAGTGTTTCTGATGCACTTTGTACATCATGTTTTACAGAGGACAAGAAGCTGCACTGTGTAATCTTTCCTTAGTCTAGGAAGGATCACAGACAAGTGGAAAAAAAAAAGGAAAAAAAAGCAGAACAGTCAAAGCAAGAATCAAGTCTAAAGTTCAAGCAATGTGTCTGAATCTTTATTGTGTTTAGTTTTAAGTCACCAGTGTAACGTCAAATTGGAGTAGCAAAGCAGATAATAAAGTTTGGAACTTAGTTTAATGTAAGTTTGAATTAAAGGAGATGATTTTCCCCTAAATATTAGACAAATCACTACAAAGGCTACTTTTCCTAAAGGAGATTTTTAAAATATGAGTGTTCTTGTTCTGTTAATAACTGTTGTTCAAATATGTGCAGTATGTAACATGAGTGATAAAGTTTTACTGTATTATTATGGGGTGGAGGAATATTTGAAGGGAGGGTGGTATAGGAGGAAAGAAATTTCATACAGCTTGCAAGCATCGACTATTTCTTTTTGCATCAGGAGCTCTTAGTTATTGCTTGTTTGAGCAAGCATTTTGATGCTTACTCTAGATAACTTGTTAGTGCAGGTACCATGTAACGTGTGAAATAGAGAAGTAGAATGTATAAAATTATAGAGATCTGTTCTGTTATTAGGATATGTTCAGAATAGCTCTACTTAGCTCCATGACCTTACTCTGGAATTATCACAGTTTAAGTGAGAGCCAAGTTTAACCTGGGAATTATAGTGACATCTGGGGTTAATCTGAACACAGTATGTAAGAGAGTGTTGCTCTCAGTGGATTAGGGCGTAGCTGAGAGTAATCAGTACTACTTGATTTCTTTTTTAACCATGTGAAGGTTGGTCAGGGAGAACTGCATAAAATAACAAATTTGCAAAATGAGAAACAAAGAAGAAAGTAAAAGTGCATTCAAGTCATATGGATGATTAAGAAATGAAATTCATAGTTGGAATTAGCAACTTGATTTGAAAATAAAGGTGTCTTTGTCAAAAGAACAGTAGTTGTTACACATCAAGGCATTGGTCCTGGTCAGATTTTAGTCTTGTTCACCCAGAAGGGTGAATGTAGAGAGCTTTTGCTTTGTGCAGTCACTTTATTATTTACTATTTTATTTGAACAGTATGCATAACATATTTATTTATTTACTTACAATGCTCACTTCGTTCTTTCAGTCCTTGCATTGTTATGTATGTGCTGTTATTACCCAAAGCTGATAAAATGCAGTGTGTGTGATTAGAGCTTCACACAAGAAAAACTGGATGTGTCACTTGTGCAGTCTTAAAATTGCTAGATGGAATTTCATGGTTTTATTTCTCTGGCATTTGTCCCCTTCAGTGATGCTGATTGCTGTCCCATCCCATAGTCAGGGTTTAGTAAGGATCTACTATATAGAAGCATTTGGCCTTTTGGTTTTTGTTTGTTTGATTGGTAATTTCTACGTTTTTGCTGTCTTCTCAAAGCACATCTTCTGTTAAAATATGAATGAGGCTTTCAGATGAAGTGTAAATATTACATTAGAGACAATGTACAAAATCTGTGGTTAGATTTCTTTCAACAAATTTACAGGCCTTTTAAACAGTGCTTGCCTTTTCTTTCAAGGCTTCCTAGGTCTCAGTACATTACAAATCCCACTGGCTCCCCCTTAAGGAAACAACTGCAAAAGGAAAGTAAATGTTCAAATTGTAAATGAATGAATTATATGAATAAATGAATGAAAAATAAAGGGGAAAAAAAAGGGGTAGAACAAAACAAAATTACTTTTCAGGGGTTAACATTTTTGTCTTTGTTTTTTTCTTTCTTTCATGTCTTGCTATTAGGTCAGTCACCATCCACCTATTTCTGCATGTCATGCTGAATCTGTGAATTTTGCTTTTTGGCAAGGTAAATATTCAGTATCATTTACTTTCACAGCCTTCATAATAATTGCACTGTATGTTTAACATGAAATATCCAGAAATAGGGAAAAGATGAATTTTTCTGCTTAAATCATAACAGAATGGCTATAAGAAATCCTTGGCTTACTGGTATTTTTTTTTACTTGGATCTTCTGCCATTACAATTATGTGCATGTATTCAAAATCTGTTAAATAATTTTCTTGGGTTTTTTGTTCATTTGTTTATTTTTGGTGAGAGGTTTGTTTACAAAAGGAGAGTTGTACCCCAAGATATTTATGAAGACAACCTAGAATGGAACTTGGAAAACTGTGCATTGAATCCTGAGCCATGATAGATCTTGCAGTTCTGTTCTGAAGATAATTTCCAGAAATATGTATAACAGCAGGGACAGCACATTCACCGTGTCTGTCTCTTGTAGTATTATTATAGTGCATCAAATTTCATGCTGTTTCACTACTAACATTGTCTTCCAATAAATGGTGCAATGGAGCTTTGTTTGCTGTACAAGTCTGGTGAAGATGTCAGCCAGTTAGAATACCTGAACAATCCAATGTTTTTGGAGTGGACACAGGACATAACGATGCCTTTTAACTCAGTTAAAATCCTTTGTCCAGACTTCTGTCAATTCGCTGTGTAGCATATTATAGCCTTTAATTCTATTAGGATCGGCTTTGCTGACTTGATTAGAGCTATTACAGGTGGAATTGTATTGAACAGAAATTGCAGCTTTGTCATTAGTCTAACTCTTTGCTTTGTAAACAGATACAGAGCAAGAATCCTGTTCTTAGCTGAAAAGCAAAGATGACCAAAAATGTATCCATTTGCTTGTATATACAAGGCTAGATAACAGCCTATCTCAAAAACTGAAGATACATTTCTTTAACAGATCTTGGAAAGCTAATGTCACTTAACTATTGCAATATGCACTTAGAGAACTAATTTGTTCTGTTAAAACAAGCACTGAGAGTCTGGTCGATTAGAGAGAGACTGAGGTTCTGGTCCCAGTGGCCCAGAAGACTCAGGGTGCAGCAGGGTTTGTTTTTGTTTGTTTTTTGTTGTGTTTCTGAATGTGTCTAGCTGAGCTTATTGGAGATCTAGACAATGATTTTTTTCTAATGTAAATGTAATCTGTGAATACTGTGGCCTCTTGTTACAGGGCTATATTAACTTATGTGGAAAGATCAAAATCAAGTTAATCATAAAGGTATCTTGTCAACAAGATAAGTTCTGTCTGTGCAAACATCTGCCACTTATCATATAGTCTCCTCTGCTGAAAGGAGACAGCCCTCAGCTACATTGCTACAATAGTGCTGTCATTCCACCAGATACTGAGTGACCTTAGCTCCTGTTTCAACATAGGGACAGTTATTTCAGAAACTCTTCTCCCTTACTTAGGAAACTAACACTGCTTTTGTAGGACCTGTTTGCAAAGGACAATTGCATTGGAAGCTGTAGTTTGGTTTTTGTTCCGTCTTAGCATCTTTTTGAGACTGGAGATGATTTTTTCCTTTATTGTCAAATGAATCTGTGAATAGAATTGGAGATGCTGGTGTCTTGTACAGCAAGGATACTACCTTGCAAGCACTAAAGTCACTGTGAAAGTTACTGTCTGATTGTCTAGCCTAATTTAACTCCATACCCCTTATGCTGTGCTTCTCTGTCCATGTTTATTTCACTTTGAAGTGAATTGCTAATTTAACAGTTTCCTCAAGATATTTTTATAAGTTTTCATTGAGATTTATCATCTTCTTTTTTTGGAGGAAATGATGTGAGACTTGGACAGTTCTTCTGATTCAGACCAGATTTTAAAAGGCCAATTAAACTTCCAGGGGAAGTCAGACTAAATCCCTACCTGATTTTCTGCCCTGTGGATGTTGGTAGTTATATTTTTGTATTTGGAATCTTCTTTTTGGTTTTTGAAAATGTCTGCATTCATTCACTAGCATTAGTGAATGAAGCATTACAGATAAATGTACACTGCCTACAGCTTATTTAAATTCCTCTCTTTTGAAAATGTTTTTAAGAGACGACTCTTAAAACTCTGGTGCTTTTCTATTTAAATAACCAGTAATATTTTGAATAAACACTTAATTGTTTGTAGCGTTATTTTGAACACTCCTTATTATGTTACACTTTGTTATTTTGTGTTTCTTAAAGTAGAGCCAAGATGTCTGTAGATTCACGCATGCCAATGACTAAACCTGCCTTTTATTTTTTATTTCTTTTTCCCTCATCCTTTTTCAGATGTAAGATGGAAAAACAAATTCTGGGGAAAGTCCATGGAAATTGTTCCCATTGGTACAACACATGTAACTCTTCCAGCGTAAGTGCTGCGATCATGCGTTGCTGTTCACACACAGACAACATAGAGGCTCACCTGCACTGAAGCTCCATTTTTGCAGATGAGAACCTGTACTGTGCAGATGAGACCTTTGGACGAATTGGTGATTAAGATTTAGTTTAAAAATAAAGAGGGGAGGAAAAAAAAATAACAAAATGGAAGCTCTAAATCTTTCAAAGATCAAGCTGTACGTCTTTCAAATGTTATAAAACCAATGATGAGATAAAAGCCATCAATTTCATATGCTTTGGTGAAAAAGCAAAGTTTGTATTTTCATACTTAGGTTCAATTTCAAGCTTAGTGCATTTTTTAGTTACATGGAAAAGCTGTGTGGTAAAGGAAGCTGCAGGTGGGTTTTTTTTTGGTTTTTTTGGGGGTTTTTTTTGCTTGAATATGCATTTGAGGTTGGGAGGTTGTTGCTCTTTTGTGTCTACATTTGTACAGACCCTACCACTATGGGGTCTAGGTCTGTAGCTGAGGCTGACAGCTGTCCTCACTGCTTAAATAATTATCGTGACAAATAGCACCAGTAGCATACCTGGTATTTATTGTTCAAGGAAGTAAGCACTCACAACCACTATAGTTTAGGTTGATTTTTAAAAATAAAAATCTACAGTGCTCCTATGCTGGCTTGTCAAAGTGTCTGTTATAGATCAATAAATAGAATCACTCAAAAACTACCCTGTATCCAGCATAGTAACAGAAACATAGGTCTAAGGGTTAAGTATTGTTGTAATTAAATTTGTTTTCCAAAGAGTCTACAAATTTAATTATTCTGCCAAATTTAAGAAAGAAGAAAAACAACCCAATAAAGTATCCGAAAGGCAGTGTGTATAAAAGATATTGTGTTCTCTTGTTCGTAGTAGCTAGACTAAGCTGTGCATTCCAAGGTCTTTAGAATATGAGTGAAGGTTCAGAGGTAAAGTAACCTATGGATTAGCACCCATTATCCCCATTAGAGCTGATGAACTGGAAAATTTTCTGATTCACGTGTGTTTTTCATGTGTCGTTTGTATCCCTGTGGAAAAAAATACTTGAATTGTTGCCATAGGCTTTACTAATAATAAACAGGTATTCAAGAATATTAAGGCTTTATTTAAAAAATTTGTTTTTGATAATTTTTTTGTCTTTTGAGTTCTCTTTGAATTTTTTTCAGAAGTTTATAAGCTAGCTTAAATATGGCATAAGACTTCTCGTGTATCTATTTTGTTACAGTTTTAGAGACCATTTTGCATGGAACAAGGTGACATCTTGCATCCATAACATCTTAAGTGGGCAAAGATGGATTGAACACTATGGAGAGATCATCATCAAAAATCTTAATGACGACACTTGTTACTGCAAATTGACTTTCATAAAGGTGACTTTCAGTAACAGTAATTTTGGCAGTGTCCTATCCAGCAAAGGCAGCAGGGGGTGGATGCTGTCTGCTGAAACTCAGTTCAACTGCTTACAAACTGTGTTTTCAGACAGTTCTGAAATTACCTGTGATTCTTTGAGAATTGTGAACTATAAATGAACTGCAGCTTACTAGGTAGAGCCAGGCAAGAAAGAAAAGCACACCCTTCACAGGTGATTCTAGATGAGACGCAGGAAAAAAAAATTAAGAGAGAAGGAAAGGAAGAAATATGATCAAAAACTTAGTCTATGTTTGACAAGAGAAGTAGACACAAGGTGTCCACTGAAAGAGATTTACCATACATCTCTTACTAATCCATTGGTATGTGCTATGTTGCATTCATCCAGCAGCTATGGAAACAGTGCTTACACAGGGTGTAAGCTTACAGTGCTTACACTTGCAGTGCATTTTTCTAGCCCCTCTGCAGGTGCTTGGAGGAGCCTAAGTGAGGGATTGTATTGTTCAAAGCTTTTGCCTCAGTATAATAAAGATAAATAGATAAAGATAATAAAGATAAAATAAAGATAAAGGTAATAAAGATAAATAGATAAAGATAATATATCTTCTCTGGAGATGTTCAAGACCTGCCTGGATGCCTACCTGTGTGACCTGCTGTAGGAAACCTGCTTTGGCAGGGGGGTTGGACACGATGATCTCTGGAGGTCCCTTCCAACCCCTACAGTTCTGTGATTCTGTGATAAGGCATTGATATATAACTACCTCAAGAAATGCCCTCATCACTGAAATTGAAATTAACTTTTGGCAGTAGATAACTTCTTCAAGAAAAGAAAAATTAATTGAAAGCCTAAAATAATGCCAGAATTTCTAACCTGAGAAACAGTTTTGCTCAGCATTGTAAGAAACTTACCTAAACCTGAGTTTTCTGTATCTGTTTGCTGGAGCAAGGCTCTGCTTTTCGTAGCTTGTATCTGCGTGGCTGCATGGTCTATCTGTAAGTACTTCAGCATGCCTGTGCACCATGGTGCACTCAGCAGCAGAAAGAAAGTGAGCATCATCATTTTCCTGCTCTTACTTTTTTTTTTGTGAATACTGTATGCTTTACTAAGAAGCATTAGAGTAATCTTTTTAGGTATTTTATTCCAAGTACAGTAATGTATTTTCAGAGTCGTAGTAGATTTTGGAGGTGGAGAAACTGCTAGTTTATATATTCGATATTATAAACTGGCTAAAATGGAGGTCACTGTAACAGTTCCTTCTCTTCCTTTTCTGCAAATCTGGGGAGGATTTAGGTAACCAAATCAGGAATCAGTGTTATGTGTCACTGGACAAAGTTTAAGGTCAGCTGTGCTTCACCTAGTGCTGCCCCTAACAAAGGAAGAATAGATACAATTCTCAACAGCCCATTTTAGTAGGCTAATTTATAGTTGTAATAACCATAGTTCTTTATGTATGATATTGTAATGTGCACCTAAATGAATAGTTTTCAATTCAGAAAAAATACCATACAGCATGGCAATATCACTCTCACTTGATCTCTTGTGCGCTTTTTGATTCTAGGCAAAGTATTGGAATCCAAATGCACATGAGATCGAAGGCAGTGTCATGGATAAAACGGGGAATGTTGTGCATCGACTCTTTGGGAAGTGGCATGAAAGTTTGTACTGTGGGACAACTTCATCTCCAAATTGCATATGGAGAGCAAGTTAGTGACCAGAACGGCTAACATACAGAACTTAGAATATGCTTGAGAATATCTATTTTCTATTTTAATCTACCTAGTAGACCTCAACTTCTTATTGCAAAGAATATTAGAATTTTTTCAAGGATTTAAAATTTAGACCAGAAAAATAAATCACTCAAATTATATTGGGAACTTAATCCCATGGCTTCCCATATTTTCCTCATTCTCCCTCCTTTTCATATCTGGCTATGAAGAAAGTATTGAGGACTCTAAAAGCAAAGAAGAAACAACAAACAAAAAAAACCACTTTATTTTGTGTGAACTGTGGTGGTTTTCATGTATATTAAACTTTGGAAGATTGTACACATAGCTCAGTTCCATAATGAGAACCATATCTGAAGTTTCTCCAAAACCTTGTGGGGTTTTACCTACTGAAGTTTAAAAAATCACTATGATTGTAGAATGTGTTTCATCACTGTTATGCTTTGACTCAACTTATTCCCCCTAAATTGAGGCCATGATTCAGAGGTTTTGAAAAAGACTGAGGGGATTTGGTGTTGTCCTTCTAAAGACAGTAACATTTAATTGGAATTCTAAATGTTCTTTTTTCTGCTGTAGATCCAATGCCTAAAGACTATGAACAGTGGTATGGATTTACTCAGTTTGCATTGGAGTTAAATGAACTGGACCTGCAAACAAGGTCACTGCTCCCATCCACTGACACACGCTTTAGACCAGACCAAAGGTAAGAAGTTTTTCCTCTTAAGTATCTTCCTCAAAATCTGTCCATTCACTTTATCCCTAAGCTTAGGCTACTTTGTTTAGATACCTGCAGAATGTTCCCATTTCTACATTAATTCTGTATCTGAAACAGAATTTTAATCACTAATCAAGAGATGTCTAGTCATTATAGACCAGTGTTTTCTGGAACTGGTTTTGGATGCTCCAGTTTCTAGATGACTGTCTTTACAAAGATGTTACAGCTTTTCAGGGATTCTTTGTTGAGCATACTGTGTTTGAAGAACTGAAACCTCAGACTCTTGAAACTTCTTTCTGTGGAGGAATTCTACCATTGCTAATTTTTAGGGAAAAGAATCTAATACAAATATTACTTCGAGCTTGTTGTCAGTTACCTTTCCATAAGTGCTTTTTGGTAATGTAATTATTGTCTATAGATACAGTTTATCTTTTAAACACCAAGCTGTCTTCTGTAGATATTAGATTCTGGAGTTCTAGAGGACCTAACAAAAATAATGGACTGAAGCACTAATTATGTTTTTTATCACTGCTGGTGGTACAGGTTTCTAGAAGAAGGGAATATTGAAGCAGCTGAAATGCAAAAACAGAGAATTGAGCAGCTACAGAGAGAACGACGGAAGGTGCTGGAAGAAAACAATCTAGAGCATCAGCCTAGATTTTTCAGGTATTATATAACAATTTGTATATAACATCATTTATTGAAATGTTTACTATCGATCTGGTTCTGATCTGCCATAAAGAAGGCTCCAGGTTTTTCCAGGTTTCTTCCGTGTTCTTGATTTTTATACTGAAGCACTCCAGACTTAGTTAAGGAATACAGGACATGCTTTTTTATTACCATATCCCTGATTTTTTTGTTTTAAATTTTTGCTCCAAAGGGAAATGGTATTTGGTCTCAGTCTGGGTTTGCCTGAGGAGTGAATGTAGCATCTTTGATTCTTTCAAGCAAGGTGAAGTGTGGGTGGTTTTAGCTTAATTAGCTCTGCTGAACCTTGAATTCAGTGGGACTGCCTTGTGCAGCAGGGCTGGTTTTGAACATTTCCTCTATCTAATGGCAAGAGAATTGTGATTTAGAGGTCATTTTATTTCTTCCAGTTCTAAATCAATTAATAGGGGACTTCAGCTGTTGAAAGACAAGAATGAATGCTAGTGACAACACGGCCTTATGCCCTCCAGCTTCTCTGTTCAGGATGCAGTGAAAGAGTTAGACCCAAGATGAGTGCTGTATGGGCGAATGTGTCATAATTAACAGATCTGGGATACTAATTGTTTTTCTAGATAGACACAGTACTAATGAGGAGTAAGACTTGGAGAAACACAGAAATGTTTACAATAGATGCAAAAAGAAAATGGCTTAGACCTCTGCCTGTCAGAAGAGCTGGTGAGCTAATGAAATGGAGGCACGCTTTCCTTCCAGGAGGCTAAACAGACAGAAGAGAAGCAAGGTCTAGTACTATGTTACTGTATATTCACAATGAGGAATGTAAATAAGGATGAGGATTTGAAAGCTGAGATTTGTGCTATATGTTTAAATAACAGAATAAAAAATATTATTACTGTATAGCAAAAATATGAGCAAGTATTAGAGTAGATGTGAATTATGCATTTTGCTTTTCAGTAGTGATTTATTCCTTCAATAAATCACAAGTTCTGGTTTACTTAATAGATTAATTTGTTGTTTTTTTTTCAAAAATGCTGCACGCTACATTAAAAAGATTGGTGCATCCAGGGGTACAGCACAAAGAATGATGAGCCTTGCTTCTTGATTGAGAGCTGTGTCTCTCCTTGTGTAACAGCTGTGGTGAGCCACCTTCAGAGAGGAAAAAGGAAACTTTCAGATTCCATCTCAGTCAGGACAGAGTCAATGACAGTTCAGGTTTTAAAAAGCCATATTCTTACAGAAGCTTATACAAAGCTGCCTGATGGCATTCTAGACCATGAAGTAAACCTGGAGCGCAGTTTTCAGTGCTAAGGACTGACACAGGAGAGCAAAACAAGGACGTTTTGTATTTCCCCAAGACCCAAACATACCAATTAGCTTCACCAAGCTATATCGCCTTGTTTCAATGTTAAACTGAGCTTCATTGCATCTGGTTTATGGGCTGGATTAGGTATCTATGTAGTGCATGCTACATTGCATCACACACCAAACACATAGAAAAGATAAGCTTTATATTTAAAAAAGAACTGTTTAATCTTTGATAGGAAATCCAAAGATGACTCCTGGGTGAGCAATGGAACCTACATGGACCTTAGGAAAGAACCGGGTTTTTCCAAACTGGACAATCCTGTCCTCTGGTGAAAGAGGAGCCAAGTGAAGATATTCCATGCTGTACTCCTGGATCTGATTTTTAAAAAGTATATATATATATACTTTTGTATGTGTATATATATATACACACATATATTATATGTGTGTGCAGTGTGCAAGTGTGCATATCTTCAGAACTGTGCTTGATTTAGAATCTGATAATTCATTTGTTTTCTCTACTCTGTTTCAATGATTGTTTGAATGTACAAATACCCTAACTTCTTTTTGTAAAATATTTAATAAATAGCACTGAATGAACAAGTAGAGGGAAAAGAGGAGCTTTTACACTACTTTCCCAATGTGTAGTAATGTCAGTTAAGAGTTAACTTATGCCTTATCGAGTTGCATTGAAGACAGTAGCATCAGCGTCTCCTAGCTGTGCTGAGAAACGAGCGTTAAGCCTTATGACTCCAACTGTAAGTAGGCTTCCACAGTTCAGTAATTCAGCTGTCTATGGACTGGTCTAAATTGCTATCAGCTGGTGCTGAAACCTGAGTACAATCTTTTGCTGCTTGTGGAAAAGATTTAAATAAGCTTTTCTTTCTATTAGCTTTCTTACTAGCATTATTGGAAGGGGGAGTTCTGCAGTTACATCAGTGAATCAAGTCATAAATATAAGCTGTACCTGGCTAAAAGTAGTTCTAGAAAATCAGGAATCGCCAAAATTTTCCACTGAGAATCTTTAGATTTATAGTTGCCAACAGGGCACGAGGAGATCTTTTGTATATAATGTTTGAGCACTGTCTAAATGAAGCAGCTCTCTTTCTGCAGGAAGTAGTATGTATACAGAGCACGAAATCCTGTGCTTCCGTAGCTTCGTTTGTTTTTATTAACCTAAAAACTGCAACAGTAAAACTTTTTAAAAAGTAAGCAAACTAACTGATTGTTTTAAGCTGGAAATTTTTTCTTAGTATTTTGATATTTTCTACCTCTTAAGAAATAAATGACATATTTAAGATCTTATATTTAAAAAATGACCATCTGCCTTATGGAGAAATGTATGGAATCGTTGATCTTCCTCTGTTTGTTTGTTATATTCAGATAAACGTTCAAGTGTCTTGCACTAAATCAGTTGCATCTCTTTCCTGTAATTTTATACATTCGGATAGATTTGCGAAAGCACTAAGTCTCTGATTAAAATATAACAGGAAAAAAATGTAGCAGAAGTCTTGCTTTGAGTCAAGATTATAGTAATGGGCAGTATCTTTTTTTCCATGAAATCACAATGCTTTGTTCATTAACAGGATAATTTGCATTCCAACCTATCTGCAGTTCAAGCCTGACTCATGATTCTTCAAATCTGTTCTGTGTATCTGTGACTCTCTGTCATCAACACGGATTTCAGGTGCAGATCAATGTCCACCACCACTCTTTTTTCTTACATACCATTTCAAAAAAATAAACCCTGTCTGTGATAAACATTGTTAACGTGAACTATGACTGGAACATCTGGACAGTGCATGGGTAAGAGTGATTGTTAGAAGGACAAGTAGCTTAGAAAAGCTTACAGCTTACTGTGTGCTGCTTTGTTGTAAAGAAAACCCATCAAAATTGATCAATATAATACTTGTAACATGAAGTAAATACTATGAAAACTTCCATTTTAAACCAAATCTGTGGTATCAATTTAGATGTATATTTAAGTTTTGCTTTCTGCTACCTTGAAGCTTCACTGTGTCCCAGGCAGATGAATGTTTTCTCACTGTTACTCACTTTGCTCAGGAACTCTGGGCTCAGTATCATTTCTGTAATTTATCACCAAAAATGTTAGTATATTTTCTTATACTTAATGTGTCTTTTAAAAACTCAGCTAGCACTCCAGCAGCTTGCAACAAGGCATGTTTCAAGTCAGCATGAAAACAGAATCTGGGCTTTTATTCAGAAGGGAATCTTAACCTTTGGGAGCTGTTTGGCTTTTCAAGGAAAATGAAGATCTCTTCATGACTTGAATCTTTCTTGTTTTATTCTTGTATTACCAAACTTGACACAGAAGTGAGTGGATATTTGTAATTATCCTTGTTGTTTGCAATTACCATCTATAACTAATAATTACATGCATTTAACAACAAAGGATGGTAAGAGAAAGGAGTGTAAAAATGCTTTTGAGAAAAGGAGTAACATTTGTGATGGATGCATTGAACTTCTCATTGTCATATTTGGCAGCTGTTGTGATTATTGTCTGATCTGATTGCTGGTTTGCATTTTCTGTGAATGGAGTGGATTTCCCCATACTTTGTCATATGAACTAATAGTTAATAGCATTCAAATAAAGGGGCTAGGGACAAAGTTAACAAACTGTAATGCATTAAAGTCTGTGGGTGTTCAACAAAACTCATCTCATTTTGATGCTTGAGTCACAATTTTTGAGAAATCCAACTGGCATTGTTTTCCTGTATCTTACAGTCTGAAATGTTTAAAAGACACTTAGTTAAAGACAAGGAGCAGTGAACTGGGAAGTGCCTTACAGAAAATTTTAGCAAAATTCCCTTATCAAGAAGGCAAACATCAGAATTTCACTATTTTCTTCAGTAAAATAATGCCCAAGATTATGCTAGGCTTTTATCTGGTGTAACCAATGGTGAATGATCCTCTGGCCAATATTTCCAGCTGCAGTATAGTTGTCCCTGCCTATGTTTGTATGAAAGAGTTGGGTTTAATTGCTGAGCTTCTGTCAGCTATATATTAAGAATTGGAAAGAAATTGTCTTGATGTTATTTCTGTGTATTTCTGTTTAAAAATATATTAATCATTCACAAACTTTAATATACTCTATAGTTATTCTTGGTGAAATATGAAATTTGGTTTTCCCCAGATAACTTCCATTTTCTTTCAGCAATGCACTAGGAGATCTGTTGTGTTTAGTAACTGACATTTCTACCCTGAGTGGTAGAAATAAAGTATTAGATGACTGACTGCTTTCTTTCCTGCACAGCAGTGATTCCCAAACTGTACCGCTCAGTGCATCAATCTTAAGATTTCCTGAGGACCATTGCCTCCTGTTTTAACACTTACTTGATGACTTTGTAAGCATTACTTAAGATACTGTGGGGGGACAGTTTGAGCACTACTCATCTAGCTCTTTCCTTCTCTGTGCACCCCTTCACAGAGCAAAAAGCTTACTACAAATTTACATCTACGTAATGGAACAGCTCATGCCTTCAAGTGTTACGACACTGACTCAGTTTTCAAATTGCACAGCAAAGAGAGAAAAGATCATGGGGAAATAGTGTTTAGAGAGACAGAAACCCACAGCTGTACTTCCAGATTTACAGGCTTGAACATTTTGTGCAAAGTTTGGTATTAAAAAACAACAGTTTAACTTGTTTAGGACACTACTCTTGGTAGTACAAAGTGCTGTATAGTCTGAGTGGATGTAGTGTGTGCCATTCATCATTGCATTCTTTTTTAATCTTTCCTCTCTGATATATGCTTTGGGTTAATTTGCCTGTATTAATTTATTTTTTGGGTGCTTTTGAAGTACAGATCCAGTCAAGTACTTAGGTTCTTCATACAGAGCTTGGATAATCTACATTTATGCATGACTTGTACTCCTTTGAAGGATCTGAAGCTGGCTCTTGGGGGAGATGGTGGTTGCAGACACCATCTATTATTATTTGGCAGCTTACTGGTTAGTGTCCCTGCAAGAGTTCCAGGCTGTTGAGATGAGGTCATTGGACAGAAAGGAACACAAAGGAATATACAACCAGAGGCAGCTATGGGGCTAGGGCTGTTCTTAAATTAAAAAATGAAATACCTGCCCTTCAATTTCCCTCAGCTGTTTAGACTGCTTTTAGGTCCCTCACATCTAAAGGTCCTTATTCAGTGTCCTATTTTCTCTTTATTAAAAAGAAAATCCTGGAAAGTAGTAGAACGTCCCATTCTGACAAGCTTTTAAATGACAAAACAGTTACTTTTTTCCTATAAACATCGTGGCCTATTTCTGTACTTTTCCCTTGGCTGCAAACAGGACTTTCGCAGGCTGGCACTCTGGTGTCAGACCACAGCCTGGTAACGGTGCAGCTACATCTGCTCAGTGTACTCCGAGTTAATGTGCTTGCATCTTCTTTTGTGTAAATCTGTTCTATTACGTCTCTGGATGATCAACTTTTCAGAGCTGAAAATTTTGTTTTGTTCAGTTTTTGTATGTAACTCCTAGGAAGCGGGGGCATGCTGAAGAGGAATACAAAACCTGGACTGCCACACCTACGTAAGAGTGAAGGGTGAAATCCATCTTCACATAACTGAGTACAGCCTGTATGAGCTGGAGTGGGAGGTGCTATTCAAAGGAGTGATGCTCAAATGGAAGGCTCTTTAGATTAGGTATGTTTTCATTCATGGATTCTGCATACTATAAATAAACTCATCTTTTCTATCTTCTAGCTGCTGGTGGGTGCAACTCAGTCCATCAGCTGGAGTTGTTAAGGATTTGCAAATCTTATCTGGCTTATCTATTAAAACTTAGTAAATGCTGTAATTTACCACATAACACATTATTGTGCTGCTCGGTTCTTTGATGCTGTTCTTGCTGTAGTTTTTGAAAGCAATAAGAGAAATTTCCCACATAAGTAGTTGCTGTATGTTAAAAAAATATTTTAAGTGATTCTTTTTCTTATATATACAAGTCGTCAATTAGATGTTACTGCTGTATAAAACAAAACTGTATTACAACTTACGGGAAAGTTTTGGAGATCGATCCACAAGAAATTCTGAGCTCTTTCACCTTCACATGTCTGGGGTGATGGTGAAAATATTTGGTATTCTTGAGAACTGTATTTATGTTGAGTGTTTTACTTGTTCCAGTACTGGAAAAACATGCCACATGTATGAGGTATTACATATGCAGTGCTGCTAAATACTGACTTTGTTGTGTGTTTTGATAGAGCGTTAATGATTTTGGGATGAAGAAAGTTATCTTCTGTGTTAGGATGACCACCAGCTTTCAGATTTTTGAGAAAATTTTCTGTAGTCATCATAGTTCCTGTTTTCTGCTTCTCTTAACGCAAAAATTTGTAATAACGTTGGAGCACCTTGATGCACAATTTCATTTACATTTTTGTCTCTGTAACCAATTTAGTTGGATGTTAATAAATCATACTTGAAAAAGGCCACAGAGCACCCTCACTTTTTGCCAGGAGTTGTAAGCATCTTTCTTCAAAGGCTGTTAGTGACAGCTGAACCCAGGCTAGCTGCTGTATTTTTTTTTTTACTGTTTTTTAGCTGTGGTTTTTATACCTTCTACAATGGCAAGTACAAAAGCAATTGCATCTGCTGGAAGTCTTATTTATTGCTCTTACAATCTGTCTAGTAGTTATCTTCAGTAGTTTTCCAGTTGTTTGCCAGTTACCTGCATGCATGGTACAGTTGCATGGCTGTTATACCAGACAGTGGAGCAGGAAAAATTCAATTACAGCACTAAGTTGTAAGCAGTTTTGAGTAGACAGATGTGCAACACAAATGTTGTGTATTAGCATGAAAGTGCAGACCACAAACTGCACATTCTCCAGAAAACAACTTTTAATACAAGGAAACATATTGTTTACTGTTTAAAATAAGTGGCTGGAAGGAAACTATCAATGTGATGTTTTCTCCCCAGAGAATAGTGGTTTCGTACAATTCTGCTAGTCACCGACATCTGACAGGCCCACCGTGTGTGTGTAAGATGCAATACAGATGGATTAGGGTCTTGAAGAAGGTGGAAATAAAGTAAGCGTGGTACTTGACAAAGCTCTTATTCCAGACTGCAGTTCTGTAGTGCTTTCCAGTTTCAACGTGTAAAAAGTTTGGTAGGAGGAAACATGGATGTTTCAGGAAGAGCTGGGAAAATTGGATCAATGAGTCTGTTACCTCACAAAACATCCTCAGCTGTGTTATGAAGCAGAAAAAGGAGAAAGGCCACAAGAAATGCAGCTTTCATAGAGTGCAACAATCACCTTCTGTTTTGTGAAATCCATCCATTCTGATTGTGTTTCAACTTTCTGGTTAGGACTTAGTCGTGTTATCAGTGGAGTCACTTTATTGCCAATTAATTTCAGAGAGATCTAATCTGCTTTAATTGTACCTGAAACAGCTGGCATTTAGAGCAAATCAATGGGGGAAAAAAAGCCAAAAAACAACAACTTTACAGAATTAGTGATGGTTTTTTTTTCCCATAATTATAAAAAGGAGAGGAAGATGGCAAGGGAATCCCTATTACTTATGCTCTGGATCATGAAGACCTCAGGCAATACAAATTTCTCTTAGAGAAATGGATGTGGGTGAATTCCTCATGGTTGCCAAGTTCCCTATTTCTGATCAGTGCTTCCCAGAGTGTGTTTTTTTACCCCATAGAAGTGTAAGGTGAACGTGGCTTATGCAGGCCCTGCATCCAATTGGTGTCTCGCCTCAGCTGCCTGTTCATTTACAGTAATCTCTACTTAAAGTCAGTGCTTACTGCAAAATGATTTAAAGCACCATAGCGTGAGGAAAAACAATGACAGCTGAGCAAAGTTTGCTCTGCACAGTAACTGTCACATATTGGCTGCTTCTTTCTTTCTTTTTTTACAATGCCTCCATTACATTTCTTGGATACATTGCTTTCCATGCTCAATTTGTTGATATTTAACTTGGCCCCTTTTCCCTACCTCTAGTGCAAGATACATAGAAACTCATAGGGTCAGTCCAGGTTTTTAAGGATATTAAAAGCTAGCCAGATACCAACTTCTACTGTGTAGTTATGAATTTCTATCTTTGCTTAGTCTGCTCCAAAGGAAATAACTGCTATATGTAAACCTTCATCTGAAACAAATCAAAGTTCCTCTACTGAGTGGGATATAGCGGAGACTTAATTTAACTGAGAACTTGAGTCTTTGGATTAATTGATGTATATTTTTTTAAGCTCTTGGAACAACAATAAATTCCTGGAAGCTAAGACGTCGCATACAAATACATCAGCTGCAGTTACTGCTTGTAATGTCATTGACTTGGGGAATTACTTGGCTTTCTCTACTAGGGTACTATCTCTCTTTAAGGATTTTGTTTGAGCAGATAGTTCAGTTTCTGTTTAACAAGATCAGATGTCAGAATTGGAAAATATGTGGGTTTTTTGTTTTGTTTTGCATATTTAACATCGCTTTTCTTTATGAAGAATTTATTTAATGAACTATAGTTCCTAAATGACAAGCTTCTCGCTAATGATAAAGGCTGCAGTAAAACCACTTTGAGTTATTGCAGTACAAGCCTTGAAAAATCTTTTCCTTCTGAGATTTTGTGAGAGTATGTCTGAAATGCACTGATTGCTGCCTAGAGCAAGGGAGATTATGTAGATTTATCAATGGATAAGAACAAGTCCAATAACTGAAAGATTTACTGTTTTGTTTACTGTTCGTTGTCACCTCTGTCACTGTCAAACTGAAGATGGAGTGAAATCAAGAGATCATCCTACTTATATTAGTTGTTTGCTGCTTGCATTTTGGTCACTGAATCCAATCTTGTGAAAACAGTTACATAATAGCTGAATAGGTATTTGGGATGAAAAAATCAGTTTTCTTATAAAGTTCAAAAATAGTGCACCACATTCTTAAGTCCTTTTGTGGGAAAACTTAGGCTGAGAAGTTTGCCTAAAAGAGAGCCCTGCAATAGGTCAGTGAGGGCAAACTTGATGTCTTCTGTCTGAGTTCTCTAGGTACTAAGAGATTGCAAGCCTAGCTTATCCTTAACTCATGGATATTATATTCTTACCTTCTGTGGATATCAGAAATTGGAAAAGATGTGCTACATTGCATGAAAGGCCATGGTAGGAGCTCCATTGTATTTTATCTAGTCACAAAGTTTCAGAAAACTGCTCATATGAATGCTTTGTTCTCTGACACTGGCTCCAATACAGACACCAACAGGAACGACTGTTTGAAACGATGGGAGAAGGGATGAGGGGAAAGAGTATATATTGCTGAAATTAGATTCTCGGTACTGAGGTGTGCAGTCACGAGGTCCTTCCTGAAAGAATGCAGTTCATGTGTTCACAGTACTGGTTGCTCATTGCTTCCTTTTGCACTACCATTTCCTTTCAGGCTGGTCTTCCTTCTCTCTTTCAAGTTGCATTGCTCACACTGTAGTATATTTGTACTGGTGAAGCTGGACTGCAGCCACATAAAAACCAAGTAAAACCACAAAAGGCTCAAGCTGACTACAACCAATTCTGTAGAAGGGAAGCACATCCTTGTCTCCCAGTTGCTAAGAAAGTGGATCTGGAAATAAGAAAGTCATCCACCCAAGGTCACTTGCATCGGCCCTTTCAGAAGCTGCTCACCCAAATCAGTGTGTCATTCAGACAAACAAGGGCAGTATAATGAGCAAGGACACCAGTTTTTCCTGTGACAGAGCACAGAAAATTGTATTTTTAATAGCGTGAGAACAGACCAACACTATTTCATAGCTGATTTTTTTTTTTTTTTTTTTTTGCAGTGCAATCAATACCTGGTCTACAATGTAATTGTTATATAACAAATAGCATAAATATCCACACTTAGCAGCCCACGCATTTTTGAGCTGCTTGCCAGCTCTTGCTCCTGGTTTTGACATGAAGTGTGCTTTTCTCACCCTGCTTCATATTAGACTGGGGAAATTAAGCATGTTCCTATCACAGTCTCTGAATGATCACAGCTGTATAAAGTGGGGTCTGTTTCTACCTTTAGTCCCTCCTTGCCATGTGCCTTCCTGCAGCAGATGATGAAGATGGCCACCGGCAGCTCCTGCTGCAGTGACCCTGAAAAACCCCAGGAGCCCCATCTCACCCACTGTGGCAACACAGCCTCACAGCTCCTCAAAACCCTCTGGCTTTTTTGCCATTTGCAGTCATTTCCTCAGCACATCCACTTCTTATATGAGCCATGGCCTGCTTCAAAGCTCTCAAAACCAATTTCTCCATTTTCAGCTCTGTAGGTACAAAAAACGCATTTACTTTATTCTTCTGGAGAGATTCTTTTCAATTCACCCTGCAAAAAAAAATGCTAGTCATAATTCAGTTCTGAAAGAGCAACTGAGCTGGCAGTTAACAAACAATAAGAATGAAGGTTAAGGAATTGCATAATAATTGGGAAATACAACAAAGGAGCCACAAAAACTAAAAGAGAGACACAAAATTTGCTTTAAATCATAATAAAGCTATAGCTACAAATGTTGCAATAGATGAAAACATCCATCTGGTGTTATTCAATGAAATATTAATGTTAGCTGCTGAACATTTTGCAAGGTTTGACTGCGACTGTGCTCCAGTAGTGTTCATGGTAATACAAACACCATCCAGCCTGCTGCCTTGTGAGAAATTGCCAACTTCTGTGGGTTCT